GGGCAAAAGAAGAAGAAGGGGACGGCAGAGAAGGAGGGGGCTGGATGGAGTCACCGAAGCAATCAGCCAGAGCTTCAATGGAGTCCAGAGGATGTCAGAGGACAGGTAGGCCTGAAGGAACATTGTCCATGGGGTCGCGATGAGTCGGACACTACTTTGCAACTAACAACAACAAATGAATAGAAATCATCCATGCTAAACATTAAAAGTTGGTTTAGAGAAGTGGTTGCTAAGCTGAGACGAGGCAGACTTCATCAATCCAGCTGCAAAGATATAACCAGCATTTTGGCATCTAATCTCACCTCTTGCTGATCACCTAGAGCCAGTTCACATTTCTGGATCTCGCTGAATGTCATTGGCCCATTGCTCTTTTCACACACGGTTTTCCCCACTTCCACCGTAAGATAGTATTTCACACCTACAACCACCTGGATTTAAAAAATAGGTACCACGAGAATTAGGTAATTGCAGCAAAAATAGGAAGGATACATACCTTACGAACTGTGCTTAATTTCACCACTTGCAACCCTGGAAGGATTATATTCCCTGTTTTCCCGAAAATAAGACCTCCCTGCATAATAAGCCCTCCCCGAAAATATTGGAGCACAGCAGCAGCCATGAGGTGACCACGCTCACTGCTTCCTGCACCTCAAAAAGAATAAGACCTCCCCAAAAATAAGGCCAAGTGCTTCTTTCGGGGATCAAAAGAAAAGAAGGCCCTGTCTTATTTTCGGGGAAGTAAGATAGTTTGAGAGCAAGAAGATCAGTTTGTCAGGAAATAATCCTTTACTAAACAGAGTTTGCCCACCTTCCCCGATGGTCTCTCACACACATACCTGGGACTTTGCGTTCACAATTCTCAGCTCCTTGAAATAATTGGCGTTTTTGCTGTCCTTGTTGTATTGTTCCACGGCGAAAGCAGCGGCTTCCTTCACCCCCTCACCTGTGACAGGTACTTCAACAACGCCCCCAGGCATTCCCACCTCCTGCAGCAGCACCGAGGGCAGCAGCAGGAGGGAGCAGAGGAGGAAGAGAGGGCAAGACATCTGGGAGCGCGCCATGAGGCTGGTGAGAGAGAGAGAGAGAGACTGGCAAGGGCACAAGCAGAGCAAGCAGTGAACCCCGACAGTCGCACTGAACCGAACCTGGCACAGTGGGGACAGATATAGTCCAGGGAGGGCAGCGAAGCCTGGTAACGTTTGCAGATCGTTATCTGCTGCTTATTTGCCCATCAAGATTTGCCCAGAGATCAAATGTGAATTATTGTCAATAATGGGGAGATAAGAGCTGCGTTCACATGACCTGCTGATCCAACCCTGAGATAGCCAACACACCCAGGACTTAACCCCATTCCGCCTCGTTTGCTGCCTTAACTCCTTAAGAAGCCTTCTCTGGACCCAGCTATCCTTAAAAACTACCGAACAGTCTCCAACCTCCCTTTTGTAGGGAAGGTTGTTGAGAAGGTGGTGGCCTTTCAACTCCAACGGACCTTGGATGAAGCAGATTATCTAGACCCTTTTCAGTCTGGTTTCAGGCCTGGTTACTGCACCGAAACTGCTTTGGTCGCGCTGACCGATGATCTCTGGCAGGCCAGGGATAGAGGACACTCCTCTATCCTGGTGCTCCTTGACCTCTCAGCGGCCTTCGATACCATCGACCATGGTATCCTTCTGCGATGGCTGGAAGAGGTGGGAGTGCGAGGCACCGTTTTACGGTGGTTCTCCTCTTACCTCTCCGGCAGGTCACAGTCGATGTTGGTTGGAGGGCAAAGGTCAACCCCCAGGCCCCTTAATATGGGGTGCCGCATCGCTCGGTCTTGTCCCCCCCTCGTATTTAATATCTACATGAAGCCACTGGTGAAATCATTCGCCAACATGGGATTAAATAC